GTGCTGTGTTCATCCAGCTCTACACACTAATATATTTCCAGGTCCAGCCCATTGGGTCAGAATTATTGGAGGATATTACATGTATCAATCACCAAACTAATCTCAATACCCTTCTCTCTTGCTATAGCCCTCTATTAATCCTTAAATTAATCCCATTGCCCCGCTCTTTCTACATAGCCCTGTGTCAATCCCCAAACTAATCTCACTGCCCTGTTGTCTCACCATAGCCCTGTATCAATCCTAAATTAATCCCAATATCCTCTCTCTCCCCATAGCCCTGTATCGATCCACAAACTAATCCCACTGCCCCACGCCCTCGCCTTAGCCCTTTACAAATTCCCAACCAATCCTCCTGTCCCATTGTCTCCCCACAGCCCTGTATCAATTGCCAAATTGATCCCACCACCCCATGCTTTCCCCCTGCACTGCATCAATCTCAAACTAATCCCACTGTCCTGCTCTCTCTCCATAGCTCTGTATCAATCCCAAACTGATCCTACTGCCCCACTGTCTCCCCACATCACTGTACCAATCCCAAACTCATCCTGTGAACCTGGTGTAATTTTCAAACTAAGCCCACTGTATCATTCTGTCCTCCCCCATTGCCCTTGTCTAAATTCCAGACCACCCCCCACTGTAATAGCTCTCTCTCTCTGTATCAGTCTCACTCCTTCAGCCTGGGAATGTGGTGAGTTTGTACTTTCCTGACAGCAGGCAAATAGCTACACATTGTTCCAAGTGGGGATTTTTTTTCGCTGTCTCACTTAAAAACTGCGTCTGTTGCCTGTCAAAACACTTGCAGACTTGACCTGCTTCCTTTGCAAACCACACGCAAATGTGGTGATGTGGTAGGATTCATCAACTTTGAGATTCCCCGTTTTGCGACACAGCAAATGACTAGCCTCCTCACGTAAGCACAGCAGACTAGTTAATAATTGCTTCCAGCAACAAGTAGTCCATTCACTTCTGACAACAGGACGGCGTTGAGTACGGCTTTGCAATCGAACCTCAGTACCCTGCCTCCCACCCTTGTCCCACTTTTCATCGTTCAAGGAAGCCCTGTTTCCTGAATGTAATTTCTCCCTGCTCACTGTAAGTATTATTTTAACTCATTTGGGATCTTAATTCTGAGATGAATTTCAATCTGGCTCCCGTCCATTTCTGTTGTTATGCCTTTCCAATTCCTTCAATCCTCCACATTGCATCGCTTCCCAATATTGGGGCCCTGAGGGTCTTAATTCTGAACTAGCCCAGGGTAGGTGGAGTGATTTGATTCGCACAGGTGAGCGGTTGCATTTATGTAGCACCGTCCCCCAACCCAGAGTACCCCCATGGAGTGTTTTTGGAATCCCAGCATTGGAACAGGGAGGGCTGCACATTGGATGAAGTTACGGCTGATCTACCACCAAAACCCATCATTTCACCTTTGCTCCAAATGTCCCATCAAATCTTTGATTCATGATGGTAAGTATCAATCTCATGGTTTAGAATTAACAACTGATCTGATAACATTTGCACCGAAGTAGGTACAGGTACCTGCCACTCCCCTCTGCATGGTTGAGGGCTTTGGGCACAGCCCATGATGGTACCTTCCTCTTAGAGAATTGCTTCTGCATTGTCCGTTAGGCATCACGTTCCACTTCCATGCGGTCAAGTGAGGATGAAGGGCTAGCACGGGGTTCAATGTCGGAGCATTCCACACAGAGGAGGTGATGGCCTAGAGGAATTATCACCAGATTGTTAATCCACAGACCCAGATAACATTCTGGAGACCGGGGTTCAAATCCTGCCTTGGCAGATGGTAGAATTTGAATTCAATAAAATATTTGGAATCAAGAATCTAATGATGACCATGAATTGATTGTTGGGGAAAAACCCATCTGGTTCACTAATATTCTTTAGGGAAGGAAACTGCCATCCTTATCTGAGACAACAAGGTGCAGAGCCATCCTTATCTGGTCTGGCCTACATGTGACTCCAAACCCACAGCAATGTGGTTGACTCTGGGCAATTAGGGAATGGCAATAAATGCTGCCTAGCCAGCAATGCCCACAATCCCATTAATGAATAAAGGGGGGTAAAAATCAGAATGCTTCCTAGAAAGTGTCTATCTCAACTTAATTTGCTCGCCTAGCCATTCCGTGGTTTGTTTGATTCCACGTTCTGAGTAACGTTGAATGTGCATCTGCACAGCACCTTTTGGCCTGATATAAAACAGGCCAGTTTAGGAGCTCTGCAGGAGGCTGGTGCCGCAGATTTTTTTTCTTCACTCATGGGGCGTGAGCATCACTGACTGGGTTCAACCTTTATTATCCTGTCCCTTAATGCCCCGAAAGAAGTTGGTAGTGAGCTGCCTTCTTGAATTGCTGTAGTCTGGATGTTGTAAGTAGACCCACAATGTCCTTGGGGAGGGAATCCCAGGATTTTAACCCAGCGACGCTGAAGAAATGGCCGATATATTTCCAAGCCAGGATGGTGAGTGGCTGGGAGGGGAACGTGCAGGGACTGGTGTTCCCATGTATCTGCTGCCCTTGTCCCTCTAAATGGAAGTGGTCATGGGTTTGGAAGTTGGAATTCAATGATCAAAAAAATTGATGGCATGGGTTCCGAGGGGTTTGAAAATCCCAGCAGGTGACAGAATGCTTGACCAGAGAGCTTGGTTTTGAAGGTTGTACTCAAGGAACCAAAAATAGACAAAGAAGGTTAGGATAATGAACTCCAGAACTAGGGCTCCCAGATGGCACTGCAGGTGAAGCCTAATGTGTGTGACACAAAACATTCAACCCACAATCATGCAGTAAGACTTAACCAGTCATTTATGAAGGATGACTAAATCTTTTAGAGATAGTAGGAACTGCAGATGCTGGAGAATCTGAGATAACAAGGTGTAGAGCTGGATGAACACAGCAGGCCAAGCAGCATCAGAGGAGCAGGAAGGCTGA